CACCATAGACCATACATGAAGACCACAGTCTCGAGTGTGGACAACGGAGCAGAAGCACGCGCAGGCCCTTCAGCTGGAATATTGTGCTTCCTTTTGATCACTTGATGTACACAGAGCAGAAGGAGAAGTATTGCTCTGTCTCAGCACCTTTGTAGCTTCTCACTAAGGTATGGCCAGAGTGTCCATAAATGAAGGAAACTATCAGCAGAGTCTGTTCTGGGAAGATTAGTGAGGGGAAGTGCTTCCTAGTGATGTTTTATCCGTCTGTGCTTTGCTTTACAATATAAATAGACCAGGTTTCAAAGGCCATGACTCAGATGTGTTAACAACAGAAAGTTTAGTTGAACTTCGTAAACAATACTCAACGTTTTTATTTGCAAAGCGTTAGGAGATGATAGTAGTGAGCACTGTCACCCTAGTAGAACATATGTCTTTAACTCCCAGTAATTCATACTAAGCCCAAAATAATCAAATTTTTTGATTAACAAAAGCCACAAACAAACAAGGGACATGCACATTATAGACCTGACAAATGAACTCAGAGCCGAGCCAGAACTTGAAGGGTAACAAGCCAATCATGCTGACCCCGGTTGTGTGTAGGATTGCTACTTCATATCTTCTCCGACAGTGTCAGATCATACCAGGGTACGGTCAATCCACAGATATTTTATTACTCAACTACCATGGTTCTTGGCACATAGAAGATATTAAATATTTGCTGAATGAGGTGGACATCATCTACATATTTTGGAAGTTAGAAGATAATTTAACAGAGAATCCAGACCAAAACTCTTTTCAGATCAATGTTTCCTTTGCCTTTTACCTAATAGCACGTCCTTTGAAACAGGTTTTCAGTTGACTTGTAGATCTGTAGAGTGGCCACAGTGCTTTCTGAAAAGAAACTGTAGAATAAATGCTCCTTAAGGTAAATCATAGATAAAAGTTATCGAGGAACTAAATTTATTTTACAGCATCTGAAATTGTTATCTGGAAAAGTATCAAAATGAACAAAATCTTTCCCTCAAATATATTAATTAAAATAAACCAGGAGAATAGTTTTGGGTAGAATATGTTCTATTTTTGAGTTTTTATCAAATTTCTACACCACTTTTAAAAAATCAATGGTTTTCACTTAACAGAAACCAAAATTATAGGATGGTGGCAAGAGCTGGCCGGGTTCCAGCCAACAGCCAACAGCCAAGCCAAGATGTGAAGTGATGTTAATGACCTCAAGTCCTCAGATAGAATAAACTGGAAGGAAACTGCTTGATGCTACTATTTCTCTGCACAGGCACTTTTTCTCTTCAAAATGTCAATTCCAACACCATGGGAAAATGACTGTAATCATTTCTAAATAGGTCCGAGGGAAACTTGAGTAAATTGAGATAATCTCCAAATCCATTTGTGCTTTTAAAATCAACTGTTTGTTCACCAAGTTTTAATTTATTTACCAATAAGGAACAATTCATTTCACACAAACATTCTTAATACCTACCATGTGTCAGACACAGGCAATCCAAAGATGCCCAGTCATTTTTTCCCCTTTAAAGAGTTTACAGGATTTTTTTTAAAGATGTATTATTTATTTGAAAGACAGAGAGAAAGGGAGAGAGAGAGGGAGAGAGAGAGAGAGAGAGAGAGAGAGAGAGAGAGAGAGAGAGAGAGAAATGGATCAGAAACACACTTCCTGGTGAAGACAAAGCTGACTCTTCAAGGAACGAACTAAGTGATAGGGAAAGTACAAGGAACAGCCAGGAAGTTCAGTAACCTTTCAGCAGTGAACGTACAGTTTATTCCAGGAATAATGCATTAAGGTTTTTAAAGTGTACGGCACACAAAGGAAATTAACAGGAGAAGGTGAAGAAATAAGAGCAAGCAGGCCCCTGCTCTGAGCTGGGGGATTCGCACAAAAATCCTACAGGTTCCTGAGAGCCCTGGAGTGGCCCTACAACCCGGGGTAACAAGAAGTCTGTGTCTGTAAAAGATCACTCTGGCTACAAGGTAGCCCACCACCTAGGCAAGGATGGGGCTGTAGGAATGGAAGCTGCTGCAGTCGCTAAGCCCCAGGTGATGGAAGCCTGAGGCTTGGAAGTGGTGCACGCAGGGTGCGTCCGAGCTGTTTGGAGAAGCAGGTGAGAAGCACAGACGCACGCGTGGCTGCCGTCCAGACACCGGGGGAGCTTCACGTTGAACTTGATCCTGCAGAGGATGCCCTTGCAGAGAAAAAAGACAGCAGGGGATGCACGGAAGCTACACTAAATTATTCAGGAGCTCCTTATCCAGTATTGAAGGCTGATTTATTTCCTGCAGTAGCTATTTAAGTTTTTTTTTTTTTTTTTTTTTTTTTTTTTTTTTTTTTTTTTTTTTAAGGCAGACAAAATTCACATCCGACTTCAGTACAGAAAGGAGTGCTTTTTTGGCAGTCATTCTGTGATTAAGTGTTCAGGATGAAGTTTTCCCTTCCGATAGCCCTTCAGAATAATACCTTTTACTGTACCTGTGCATAATCATGGAAGACAAACCTTAATGATTTAACATTTTCCACCAGTCAAAAAGTCACTTTTTAATGGCTTCACGGGAATTTTCAGGAATTCTCTCAATAAACTTCAACTCGGCCTTCTCTTCCCTCCCACCAGGTGAGAGTCCAGTAGCCCCAGTGTGGCTGCAGAGGCCACTGGCAGACAGGTGGAAAGTTCTCCTGAACCAGGCCTAGCCAGGGAAGCCCAGTGCCTGTCCAGCATGCCCCTTGCCTTCTCCCTGGGGAAATGGATCTGGATTCTCAGCAGGGGTAGGGTGGTGGCCTTGGCTGTGTTTGCCGCATCAGATGCAGCTGGTGGTGATGGGCTGAGAGTTGAAGCCGGATCTTAAGTGAGGGCAACATGCAGGATGTTGCACAAACCCCTGTCTCTGTGTCTCGTCTGCTGGCTTGCCACTACCTGCCTGAACTAGCCAAAACTAAGTCTGACACACATCTATTGAGACTTCAACAAAACATCACCAAGAAAGGACAACTGATGATCACCGACTTCAAATTATTTGTACTAGACAGTCCATCTCTCTTAGGACCCTGTATACACTTATTTACGTACTCCCAGAAGCTTTGAAACCCTCACATTGCTGAAATTGACTTAGGTTATATAGGAAACAGTTTCATCTGTTTTGCCGGGTTCTAAGACCATCTAAGAAGGAAAACTATCTAAGAAGAAAAACAAAGATGTCTTACAAAGTGCAACCCTCCAACCTCTCCAGCATATTGTGTGCGTGTGTGTGTGTGTGTTATAATCTACTCCTATTATGGCCTCCTCCTATATATCCACTATCAAGTTAAGCAGCATACAATGTTAATTTGCTTCCATTTTTGTTCTCTACCATCTTCTGCAGTGACAGCTGTAGGCTTCTAGTTTGTGGACCACTTTTGCCAGGAGCACAGTTTCTCCTGAAACATGTTCTCCCATTTGCTGCCCAGTTCTGCCTCCCAAAAAATACGCCATCAGGATTATAGATGAAATGGATGATGTTCCTTATAATTAAACGTCAACTAGGGATTTTTAAAAATTATACTCACACTACACAAGAAAAAAATGTAGATTAAAAAAATCAGTATAATACTTCCCCTATGCAACACCAAATCTTCTTTTGAATTGAACTTTTTGAGATAATTGTATATTTTAAAAACAGTTGTAAGGTACAAGACAGAGATACCTGTATACTTTTTCAGGAAAGGTTTGTTTTATTATTTACAAAGCAGAATGACAGAGAAAGGCAGCGGGGGGCGGGGGGGTGTATGAAGATACATAGAGAGAGATTTTCCGACCACTGGTTCACTCCCCAAATGGCCACAATAGCCAGGGCTATTGACCAGGCCAAAGCCAGGAGCCAGCGACTCCATCCAGGTCTCCCACATGGGTGGCAGGGACCCAAGCACTTGGGCCATCCATTACTGCTTTTCCAGGGACCTTAGCAGAGAGTTGGCTCAGAAATGGAGCAGCCAGGACTGGAACCAGCACTCCAATATGGGATGCCAGTGTTGCAGGCAGCAGCTTAACCCACTGCACCAAGATGCTGGCCCCTCCTATATACTCTTTTTCTCCTTTTTTTTTTTTTTAAGATTTATTTATTTATCTGAAAGGTAGAGTTAGAGAGAGATCGAGAAACAGAGAGAGAGAGAGAGAGAGGTCTTCCATCCACCAGTTCACTCCCCAAATGGCCTCAACAGCCAGAGCTGGGTCAGTCTGAAGCCAGGAGCCAGGAGCTTCTTCTGTCTCCCACACAGGTACAGGGGCTGCTTTACCTCCGATGCGTTCCCTGACACATTAGCAGGGAGCTGGATTAGCAGTAGAGCAGCCGGGATTCAAACCAGTGCCCATATTAGATGCCATATTAGAAGCTTTGCCTGCTATGCCACAACACCGGCCCCTTCCTGTATACTTTACTTAGTTTCCCCTGATGGTAGCATCATGCAGAACTATAAAACACAAGAGAAACTGGAACCCTCCTACACTGCTGGTGAAAGTGTAAGATGGTGCACACAATGCAGAGCATGTTTGGTCATTGCTTAAAATGTGACCCAGCAATTCTACTCCTTAGGTAGATACCCAAGAAAAATGAAAACACATGTGCAAGCAAACACTGGTACTTCGTCCATTGGCAGCGTCATCCAAAATAGCCAAAAAGCGCCGATCACTTACATCCCATCGATGATGAATGCATAAACCGAATGTGGTACATCCACATGATGAAGTGCTGACACATGTTACAACACGGCAGCCGCCTGAACACCTTTTTCGAAAGCCAATCACAAAAGGCCACGCACGGGATGAGTCTATGTATATAAAATGTCCAGAATGGGCAAATCTATGGGGACAGAAAATAGATGACGGGTTTCCAAGGAATGGGGAGAGGAGGGTGGTTTGAGCAGGAAGTGACTGCTAACGAGTTTGGGGTTTTCCTTTGGGATGATGGAAATGTTGTAAACTCAGATCATTACACAACTCTGAAGGTACTGAAAAATCATGGAATTGTATACTTTAAATGGGTGAGTTATGAGTATGTGAGTTACAATCGAAGGCTTTTTAAAAAATAATCCAAATTGCCATTTTCTCCACATGATGAAATCGGCTTGGCTTATAGGGGGAAATACAGCGTGACATCACAAGTGGGATATTGACCTTGGCACAGCCACAGTGCAGCTTGGTTCCGTCACAAGAATCCCTCAAGTTGCCCTTGTATACCCATAGATACTTCGGTGCCTCCACTCCACCCATGGCCCCTGGAATTCACTAATCTGCTCTCCACTTCAAGCATTTTATCATTTCAGAGTGTAATATAAGTGGGATCATATAGTGTGTGCCTTTTCAGAATTGGCTTTTTTTTTTTATTCAGCATAATGTCCTGGAGAATTTATCCAAGTTCTATGAATAATTCATGCCTTTTGGAAATTTTTCATTTATTTATTTATTTATTTGACAGGCAGAGAGAAAGACACAGAGCTCTGGTTCACTCTTCAGATGCCCATAATGACCAGGGCGGGGCCTGGGGGCCAAAGCTGGGAGCTAAGAATTCAATCCAGGTCTCCCGTGCGGGTATCAGGGACCCAACTACGTGAGTCATCACTGTGCCTCCCAGGTTCTACATCAGCAGGAGGCTGGAAGAGGAAGCTGGCAGTGGGAACCAGGCACTCCAGTGTGGGACACAGCCATCCTAACACAGAGCTAAGCGCCGTCCCGTTGTCAGAAAGGATGGTTCTATTTTCCAGGCCCACCTGCAGTACAGAAGTGATCCCACTTCTCCGTGTCCCATCAGCATGTGTACTGGTACTATTCTTACATGAGTCATTCTAATAGATGCACAGCGAGACCTCACTGTAGTTTTAATTTTCATTTCCCTAATAGCTAACAATGTTGCGCATTTTTCATGTGCTGTTTCACCATTGTCTTGTGTGGTGAATTGTCTCTTCATGTCTGGATCCTATTCTAACTGAATTGGTTATTTTCTATAGAGGTTTGAAGGTTTTCTCGTTTTTTTTTTTTTTCTTTTAAGATGTATTCCAAACACTAGTAATTTGTTGGCTATGTGGTTTGCAAATATCATCATTCACTCTTAAAACTTACTTTTTCATTCTCTGGGCCTTTCCCAGAGCAAAAGTTCTTAATAAAGTCCAATTGATACATCTTTCTCTTTTATGGGTGGTGCTTTTGGCATCACCTTTAATTCTTCACCTAGCCCTAGGTCCCAAAGATGCTTTCATACTGTTTTCCTAAAAGCTTCAATTGCACATCTTAAGACCATGATGTTTTTGAGCTTAATTTTTTGTGTGGAGTGTGGGGCTTCCACTGACACTGTGTGTGTGTGTGTCTTTTGACGTCTAGGTGTTCCAGCACCATTGCTTAGACCGCCTTTATCAAAGTGCTTTTACTGAAAAAGCATTTTGGCCTTTGTTTGGCCTGTTTTCATGGGTCTGCTTCTGGGTTCGCTATTTGTATCCATGGATCAAAGTGTCTATTCCTCTGCCAATACCATTCTTGATTACTGCAGCTCCGTAAGAATAGTAAGCTTTACTACTGAATACAGTGACGCCTCCCACTCATTCTTCAGGATTGTTTTGGGTATTGTAGAGCTTGTGCCTTTCCATATAAATTTAACATAAGCCTGCTTGTTTCCAAAAACCCACTTTTTAAAAAAATTTTGGTAGGAACTGCATTAAGCTGGATCAGCTTGGCAGAGAGGGGACTTCTTTACTCCGTGGGTCTCCCGATTCACGACAAGGGGTGCTTCTCTATTTTGTCACTCCTTTCATTTCATTCACAATCGGTCATTTCCATCATAGAGATCCTGTACATGGTTTCTTGAGTTTACATCTAAGTATTAATCTTTTAAGTGATTGCAAATGATTTTGTCTCTTCACATCAGCTTCCACAGGCTCACTGTTAGCACACAGAAATGCTATCGATTTTTGTAATATCCTAGGATCTTGCTGAAGTTACTAGGTTGTGTGTTTTTTTTTTCTGTAGATTTGGGATTTTCTACTTACCATCTGCATGGTTTTACTTCTTCCTTTCCTATCTGTATGCCTTGTATTTCCTTTTCATGCCTTATTGCAGTGGCTGGAACCTGAGATACCATGTTGAATAAGATTAGCAAGAACGGACATCCTTGTCTTAGAAGGAGCGCATTCAGCCTCTCACTGCTCAACTAGACGTGACCTGTAGGCTTTGTACTGAGAAACATCTTAGAGAATTAGTGTTCTTTTCCTACGCAGGCCTCCTTTCCTTCTATAGGGGAAAGCTCACCACTTAGGGATCGGCCCCTGGAGGTGACAAAAAGATTTCTGTACTTCCTCCTTCCAACTAGGCTTCAAGGAAAGTAGGACCGAGTTCCTTTCAAGAGCTTGGGGCTCTCTGCAGCCCAGATCGGAGCTAACGTCACTGCCCGCCCCTTGCCCTCAGCCCCACCCCGCTGGAGGCACCTGTGGATGCGGCCGCAGGGCTGCAGTCCCCCCTCCCGCCGCGCTGCACCTCCAGGCAGCCGGCCACTGCCAGCCTCGCCGTCTGCCAACCCGAGCTGGCGACAGGACAGCCTCCGATGCCCAGATCCAGGGTGACAGGAGTGGCCAGGGCGAGATTGAGCTTGTGTGAGCTTCTGGCACCAGCTCCCCAAGAGGAGAACAGAACTGGCGGTGGAGAGAGGAAGCAGTAAGAGTTCCAAGGATGGAAAAACCTGGTAGTCACCAAGCACTTCTAGAATACGTGTTACCCATGGAACAGTTCTTGCAGGGCGTGGGGCTGGGCGATCTAACCTAAAAAGAAAAAGGAAAGCAAGAACGGGGTCCCGCAGCCCGCAGCGCCGCTCGCCCCGCCCACCCCCACCCAGGAGGCGCGCCCACCGCCCGCCCCACCCCCGGGCTGGCCGAGCCTACACCTGCGCAGGTCTCACCTGCCCGGACGCGCGACCCGGTGCAGGGGGAGGTGAGTGGGTGTGCGCGGAGCGCGGGGCCGAGAGAGGAGGAGAACGCGGGCCTCTCCTAATGGCCGCTCGGCCGCGGGCGCCCCGGGCTGCTCTGGCGCGCCGCCCCGCTGGCTCCCGGGCTCCCCTTCCCACGCTTCCTCCCCGGCGGGCCGTACCAAAGGCGCCGGGGTGGGGGGGGGCGCAAAGCGGAGCGTTCCACTCGCGGAGGGCGGGCGCCGTCCACCTGCGGCGACGGCGGCGACGGCGGCCTCGGGCGGGTGGGCCGCGCGCCCGCTCCGCCCCCGGCCCCGCCGCCTGCGTCCGCCCGCCAGGCCCCTCCTCCCGGCGGCGCGGCGGAGCGAGGCCCGAGCGCTCGGCCGGCCGCGAGCCCGCCGGCCGGGGACGAGCGCCGCGGCTCATGCTGATCGCTGTCCTCCTCCTCCTCCCCCTCAGGCGGCGCTGGCGGCGGCCCCGGGACCCGCGGAAGCCGGCATGCTGGAGAAATTGGAGTTCGAGGAAGAAGGTGAGTGCGGCCGGACGCGCCCGCATCCCCGCGGCGAGGGCCGCGCGGGTCCCCGCGCCGCCTCGGCCTCGGCTTGCCTGCGCCCCGCGGACCCTGCGCCCCCTCGGCCGGCCGCTCGCGGCGGCGGGGTGGCGTCCTGCGGGAGCGGCCGGGGCCGGCGAGACTCGGTCTGCCGGGCTGTGCCTGTCGCATGGGGCCCCGGCGAGCCGGCTCCGCACGCAGGGGCGGCCCTTTTGTCCTTACACCCTAAGTCGAATTAGAGCCAGGTGTCATGCAGCCCTGATTGTCCTGCATGTCACCGGGCACTCCGCGGGAACCCCCGGGTCGTGTGTGCAGCCCGTGCCTTTAAGTAGCGAACTGGTTCCCTGCGCCGTATTCGTGAAAATACCACCAGCAGGGTGTGTCTGCCGTTTTAATGGGGAAAGTTCCATCGGGAAGCCCGGAGCGGCCGCCTGAGTTGCGGCGACCCTCTCCGTCGGTCCTGTCGCCTCCCGTCTCGCTCGGCTTCTCTCCTCCCTGCCCTGTTCTCCTCTGGCGTCTTCCTTACAGGTAGATAACCTGGATCTTGTTTGGAGACGGTGAAAATGTGAAGGGGGATGAGTTTGTTCTTTGGCAGAATTCCTGTGTCAAATGGCATGATGCGCTTTCGCCCGGATCTGATTTTGAAGCTGCTGAAATGTGAAGGGGGCGAGCTTGTTCTCTGGCAAAATTAGGATTTTAAAATGGACTGCGATGAGCTCCAAGTCCAAAAGGAACTTCACGTGGAGACACTTGACAGTTCGAAGAAGGCCAGAGGCCTCGGCACTCTTGTGTATTTCCATGATTTGCTAGGTGACAGCCTTACTAGAATAAAGCTCCTGAAACAAAGATGGTGCCGCGCGGATGCTACTGCTTGTACCAACTTCACTTCAGTACCTCTGTGCACTGGTGAGCAGGCAGTCACTTAAGTCAGCATGCACACTCCCGCCTGGGAGTGTCAGCCGATAGCACTAGGCCTTTGCCTGTGACTTCCCCAGTCACTGCAGCATCTCACAGACATGCTAGCTGGAAGATAATGCAGCCGTGGTAATTATCATTGAAGTCTTCATCCATATTTATTATTAGCAAATGGTGCATTTCAGAATTTCCCTGGGTTTCATTTGCATCTTATTCTACCTAAATATAATCCAGGGACTTAATTTGAATCCACCTCCCCGCTCCTCGGTGTTATCGTATTGCAGGTTGCCTTCTGGCCACTGGCCACAGGGAGATATCGTGTGCCCTACCTGCTAAGACTTGGAATCTTTTGAGTCTAAATCTTAGGGGTGTGTTTTTGTTTAGCTTTGTGTTCATCTCTGATGGAGTGACAATGAGAATCTATGGCATTTAAAATTTCTGCAGCTAATGTGAAGGCAAGAGACAGAATAGTCTCCATTAGAGAGAAAGCCTAATGTGGTTAAGAACCCAGACCCAAGTTCCAGTCTCACCTCCACCTGTTCTTTAGCTGTGTGACCTTAAACAAGTTACCTAACCTCTCTGTGTCTTAGTCTCCTCATTTGTAGTACACACTGCAGATCCACAGTAAGCACTTTGTAAAAGTTGCTCTTTTACTGCTTAAGTGCCATTAACCAAAGTACCAAATTCATGGACTTTTAAAGGCTTTTATTAATACATTTAACACAAAGATTCTTCTCCACACAGGTTTGGTGGCCTTTTGATTGTTTTCTTCCTTGGGATTGATTAGTATACGCCTTGTTTCTTTTGCATCGGTCCTGCCAGTGTAAAGAATATAATGGATTAAACCTAAGCGTCTACGGGAACTCGCCCTTTTCACCCATCTGTTCTGAACCCATTGCTGTCATTACTTTAATCCCACAAATAACCCTGTCAGACTTTTCTGGTTTTTAAGGAGGCAGAATGTTAAACAATTACTCGGAAGCTGTTAGTGGAGCTGAAAGAAGGCTTAGTGTTGGCGTGGTAATCCAAAATGCTGCTTTGTTTCTTTTGAACTTTAAACGGCTTATTCTTCCCAAATATAGAAAAACCGAATATCAAGCAGAATCTTACATTTATCTGAGGGGAGGGGGAAGCCCTAGCAATACGACATCCACATCCACTTTAAGATCAGGTCCTGTGACCTGATGTGTACCTAGCCTATCGAATAAACGCAGCCCTGTTTCATCTCCACACTTCCCTCTCGTCCAGTGAATGTCTTAATTTATGCACTGTCTGGAGGCAGACTTACTCCGAGATACCTTGGTTATAGATAGAAACACAAACTTAACTACCACTTAAAAAAAAAGATTTATTTATTTATTTATTTGAAAGGCAGAATTACAGAGAGGCAGAGAGAGAGAGAGAGATCTTTCATCTGCTGGTTCACTCCCCAGATGGCCACAATGGACAGGAGTTGTGCAGATCCAAAGCCAGGAGCCATGAGTTTCCTTCGAGTCTCCCACGTGGGTGCAGGGGCCCAAGCACTTGGGCCATCCTCCACTGCTTTCCCGGGCCACAGCAGAGAGCTGGATGGGAAGCGGAGCAGCCGGGATGCCATATGGGATGCTGGCACTGCAGGCGGCAGCTTTACCTGCTGCGCCACCGCGCTGGCCCCTTCACTGCTACTTTGGTTACCAAGAATTCTTCTATTTCCTAATAAACTCTGATGGCTATGATAGCTGTTAGGGACACTTTGGAGACACTGGGAAAGTGGGAAGAAGGGAAGGGCTGAGCCAGAGCCTCCCCTGCACGGTTGGGCTCCTGCACCGCCTGGGTAATGAGGTGAGCTCTCACTGCGGGTCCGCCGACAGCGCCTCTGACCATACACGCGTGAGAAGAGGGACCCCTGTGACGCGCGGGTCTGCTGGCATCATCCGCTTTCGGCAGACGCTCCATCCCTTTCCCATCTGCGCACAGAGTGCGTGCAGGCCTCTGTCGGCCTGCAGCTCCCTTGTGTGTTTGGAATCACCAGAGCTCTATAAAAGGCAGACCTCAAATCTCCAGGCCTGAGATGGGACCTGAGTCCTGCATTTCTCCCAGGGTTTTAGCCTTTGCAGACGATACAGTCCTGGTCTCTGCTAAGTACTCAGTTTGCCCTTGCAGAAGGCAGCTAAAAACCACACACGGTCCAGTTACTTGGGAAAACTTGACTTCCAGTAAACTTGATTTACCGAGACAGGCCACATTTGGCCCTCAGGGGCGGTTTGCCGGAGCCCGCTCCGTGTGTCCCTCACTGTATCTGTTCTGTAGATGCTACCCTTTCGACACACCGCCAACCCAAATCCCACCTCTCTGAGGCCTTCCCCCGAGCTACCTTCTGTACCCCTCTCGCGATTCACCCAGTCTTCCCAACGCCTGCCGTGAGGGCCGATGCGCAGTAGGCGTTCGGCAGTCTCAGGATCTTGGGGATCGCATTAGAAGTCTGTACTTGGTTTGTGGGGACGCTGGGAAGAGGAAATGATTCAACAGGGGAAAATCGAAGAGGCCGGCACCTAGCCTATGGCAGTCACTTTACGTGTTTGCTTTTAAAATCTTTGTTGTATTAGTTGCATCTTTTCCTTGTTTGTGTGTATCAAGACTAGCTGGCCCAGACAAAGCCGGAAGTACCGTGTGAGCACAGCCCGAGGGTGGTTGTCAGACTACATACTGCTCGACGGTTTTCTGCGTGGTCAATAAGCCTGTAAGTCTGGTACTGCCTCACGGATTCTGCAGCCCTGTTGAACTGTCCGTGTGCTCTCCTGGCTTCCCTCCTGTCCTCTGGGTTATCTGAGGCTCCTGGAACTTGCTGTGGGGATTTCACCCACTTCTGTCTGTCAGCTTCCCCCACCTCCCCTTGTCACCTGCCACTGACTTGGCCCCACCCCATTCGCTCTGTCCTGGCCAGTCCTCCTTCACCTCAGATATACCTGTGGGGCAGTTTCCAGAGTAGAATCCTCTTTCCAGAACTCACCTCCAAACTCACTTGTTCTAGCAAGACTGGTCAGTCTAGTCTATGGAGATGAAAATAGGTAAGAAATAGGGAAGGGAGGCTGGCCTTGTGGGGCATCAGGTTAGGCTACCACCAGCATCCCATGTGAGGGCTGGTTTGAGTCTCGACTGCTCCGTTTCTGAAATGCACCTGGGAAAGCAACGGGAGATGACCCAAGTGCTTGGGTCTCTGCCACCCACGTGGAAGACCCGGGTGGAGTTCCTGTCTCCTGGCTTCGGTCTGGCACAACCCTGGCCATTGCAACTGCTTGGGGAGTGAGCCAGTGGTGGAAGAGCTCTTCTTTGTCTCTCCCTCTCTCTTTTTAACTCTGTCTTTCAAATAAATACATCTTTAACAAAAAACAAGCAGAAAAGCTATAGAGGCCATGTTGCATGGGAGGGAAAGATTTTTTTCAATCTAGAATCTCAGGATTTAGGCCACGCTCAGTGACGAAGTAGCTCTGTTTCCCTGGCCAACCCCTCGCGTCTCTTGGGGCCGTGTTTGTTATTATTCTTGTCATTATGGATTCTCTCTACAGAGCAGGGGACTGGCACTGGGCAGTCTTCTGCTTTTCCTTCTAGCTTGAAAATAGGACCCCCAAAAGCAATCAACAGCTAAACTATACAAACCCACAGGACAAAAATGTGTGTTCACTTAACAATGCACTCGTTCCCAGCTTGGGGGAAAATAATGCTCAGGAGAGAATGAGGAAGGTTCCTGTAAAGGGACAAAAAGTCTTAGATATCACAATGGTCTGTGTCCCTCCGCGGGACCGCAGTACATGAATAAATACATAATTTATCTGTGGTATTAAAATTTCATAGGGGTAGGACAGTCGGGGGGAATGAGTAAAAGGGC